ATTCAGCGGTACAGTATTGGCTGTCCTCAACTTTATTACAGAAGCTGATGGAAATGTGTTAGAAAATAATTCTTTGGGCAGGAAAGGATCTTAACTTCTGAGGTAATATCTGTACCCAAGGCTTGAGTTGCTTTCTATGGCTAGTGACTTCTGTATTTTTCATTCTATCTGGATGTGTCTTATACTCCAGATGTTTATATCGAAATACCCATGGAACATCTTTATTTGGATGTTCCTTAGGCACTTAACTTCAGAAGTTCAAAACTTGAATGAATTGTCATCTTTTCAAACTACTCTTCCTTCTGTATTTCCTTTCATTGTGTGAAGGTGTCTTCATCAGCCAAATTAGAAATGTGCATTCTTCTTTCACTCTTATCCCTGTCCAGTTACTCAATCCTAATGATTCTGATTTTTATACTCTCAATTTCTTCACTTTGGATTATTGTATTAGTAATAGAAAATGGTTCTTTTTTTGGGAGAAGGAGCCTTCTACCCATCCTCTGTTGGAAGCAAGAATATTCTTATTTACAGAGCAGGATAGATTGTGTCACTTTTAGTTTGAAAGTTTTGCTTAGGCTCAGGATAAATTTCAAACTCATTAGTGTGTCCTAGAAGGTCCCTGCTCACACCTTTACGTTTATACTTACTCTGGCCTTGGTAATCATATTGAACTGTCATTATGCTGAGATCTGCTTGTCCCCTTAACCTTGAAGATGCCATTTTCTCTGCTTGGACCACTTTTTTTCCTCACCTTTTATGCCCATCTTTGTCCAACTCCTGCTCTTTATCTTTTCATTTTGCTTATGTCGTTTAGGAAATCCTTCCTTTTTTCCACCACTCACTTTGACTCCTTAAGAGTCAGGTATTCTTTAAATGTGGTCCCATTGTATTTTGCAAACAGTCCCTCTACTGTACTCAACACAGAGGACAGTAATTCTTTCTGGTTTTTATTTCTTATATGATTAGGTCTTTGAGGGTAGACCTAGGACTTTGTTAATATTTTATTTGTGTCTAGCTATGAAAAGTGCTCAGTAAATATCTGTTGAATGACTTAATGAATTGTTGGATATAAATGACTTAACATGTCTGGGTATACTCAGTGGGGGGAAAGTTAGTGTAAGGGCCTAGGCTTTGTATTTTTGAGGAGATCACATCTCAAGAAAGCAGATTGAATGAAAATAAAAATCAGATCTAGTTGAATTACTATATTTCAGTTGCAATAAAGGCCTATGGATTAGTTTCTTTTCATTATTTTATTGATCTCTGACTAACATAGGGCCATCTCAGTGATTTACATAGCATATATGCTTTTATGTTTGGGTGGTTTCTGTTCTAAACTAAATAGATTTAATTCATTAATATTCCTGTTAGAATTTTGATTAAAGCCCAGTCCCTGGATTAGCTTTACTACTTTACTTAGGTTGTTTTTGTTGGGTATCTTCTCCCTTAAGGTACAAGTTGTTCAGTTCAGGGAGGGAATGTGTGAATGTGACTTAGAGTAATTGAGACTTTGATTTGGGGCAGGACTTTAGGAGGAGAATGGTTCTCAGTGATAAGGAGACTAGAAGCAAGACTGGAATTATACCTTCCTCCTGTCTCACAGGGAACTTCTGTGAGTAAAGGTGTACTCTTTGTTTGTTAGGTACTTTACGTACATGATCTCATTTAATCTCTATAATCCTGTGAGGTGATATGATGAAACTAAAATTCCCAGGGTTATTTTGTTAGGAAATAGTACATGTTAGATTTGACATCTTAGTGCAGAGTTCATGAACTTTGCACAACACCAGCAGTTCATCAGCTTTTTGAGCTCCTGCCCACTTAGGTGTACAGAAGAGCCTCTCAATCCTTTTACCATATCTATCCTCACTTTCACATTGAAAAAGAACTTAGTGATAACAACAAAAGTATTAGATTGTAATATAAACTTGTATATGTGATTTGTATTTTACTAACCAGTTCCCTATTAGTTAACTAAAACTCAGGAATTTTATTACATTTAACTTGATATTGTGTTGTGAGTTTTTAAAGTGACATACGTTTATCAATAGGACAAGAAGTGTCACTATGCAGGCACTTTGGAGGGGTGAATATATATATATACTTGCCTATGTATTTGTATTTGCCTGTGAATGTATGAGAAATTCCTCTGTAAACCATAATGTGCGTGTAATATAGTCAAAAGAAAATTTAGGTTTTAAATAATGTTTATATAAACATCTATCAAATTACTGGAGGATTAATCACAGATCTCACAAAAAAATTGTGATATTATCTAGTTATTGATAATTAATATTTAAGAACTTATAGAAATGATGAAAAATAATAAAAATGATTTATCTGTAATAATTCATAGTTAGAAAGCAAGAAAAACAGCGAAGACAAAGACCAACTTTAAAGTATTATTACTGTCCTTAAAATTGCAGGAATTTTAGTGTACCTATTATACACACTAGACACCCAATACCTCATAGTACAGACAACCGATGTTACAGACAACCAATACCTCATAGTAGTGACTGAATTAGAGGCCTGGATATTGAGAAACATACTAATTTATTTGTGTGTGCCAGTATTAATACCCCTTAATACTTCACTTGAGGGGCGGGGATTTAGCTCAGTGGTTCTGGAGCCTGCCTTACAAGTGCAAGGTCCTGAGTTCGATCCCTGGTAACAAAAAAAACCAAAAAAAACTTCACTTGAAATGGTGACTAGTACAAAGCTAATTGTGATACAGAAAATGAACACCTGGAACTGCATCTTATTTTGTCTGTGAAACATAAAGGACTTACTTGTTATCCTTATTAAGTCATATCACAGAGGACTTGAGGTTATATTTTGAAAAGGAATATGCTGTGTTTGTCTGTAAAGGAAGCCTTCTGTGTTAATAAGTGTCTGGTTCCTATGGGAAGAGTTCTTGAGCAAATCCTAGCCAGATTGTTAGTCTTAATCTCCTCTCAACAGTTCCAGTCATATGCAAATTTTGTCATAGTATAGTCTTTCTGCGCAGCTCTGTTCCTCTTCGTGGTGTCAGAACTGTCTTCAACCCACCCTCAGTTTGAAAATTTATCTGCAGAGATTCACTAGGTATGTAGTGATGTTGTAATGCTCACACCTTAGTGTATTTATCTCTCTCTCCCAGGAATAAATAATAAGGACTCTAAAAGTATGCTATCCATTATCATGAGTTCCTTTCTCTAACAAACATTTTAAACTGATATTAATAGATTTATGACCATAATTGTTTCTATGAGTTTGAAGTATGTATATACCCTTAAGTTTATGTAGAACCATTGGGAAATTTCTTCAACACTGTAAATCTCTTGCAGTTTTAGCAGTTTACCCAGTGGTTGTTCTTCACAGTTTCTTTACTAATCTTTTCCTTCCTCCTAAGACCTTCATATATCAGATGTTGTTATCTTATGTAAGCCTCTATATCTTTCAAGGATCTGTACTATATATCTTAATTTCTTGGCCATTTATTTCATGATGTCCCCTTCATGATGTCACTAATAATTTGCAGTAGTCAAGGGGATGTAAAATCTTCAAAAAATTAGGTAATCATTTTGAAAAACAAAATTTTACCTTTTTATTATCTTTTTGAGCCTATTTTATTTCCTCACAGATATTCATAATTCTTATTCCTTCTCAAGTTACAATGCAGTTATACATTCTCCTTCACTTGTAGTTTTTCTTCTTTTTTCCATGCCTCTCTCCTTCCTCCTCTTCTTTTTTTTTTTTTCCTTTGTTACCTGGGACTGAACTCTGGACCTTGCGCTTGCGAGGCAGGCACCGGAACCACTGAGCTAAATCCCTGGCCCCCTCCTCTTCTTTTGTCTTCTTCTTTCTCCTCCTCTTATTCACCCTCCTTCTTTCCTTCCCTCTCTTCTTCCTCATCTCTCCTCTCCCTTCTCCCTCCCCTCCCTCTCCCCCTTCCCTTTCACCCCTCCCTTCCTTCATATCCATCATTCTTCTGCCTCAGCCTCCCAAGTCTCTCAGACTACAGGCATGAGCTACTGTACTTGCCCTCACGTTTAGTTTTCTTGTAGAGTTAATACTTGATACTTCAACTCCTTTACTCTATAATTCACTACCCAAGCTATATCATTCTGTTTTCAGGTATACTTTTTAAGCTCACCATTGTTCTTAAAGAAGGGTAGTCAGTTGTAATGGAAGTAGTTCAGAGTTCAGAATTAGAATCAAAGGATTAAGGTATCAGATTTTGTCATTTACTCTACAACTCTAGAAAAAGTAAGTATCTTTGCTACTCAAACTAGGAAGATCATAAAATGGGAAATTTCATGTCTTATTTCAGATGTGCTGAACCAGAATCTGCAAGTTAGCTAGATACCACACTGAGAAGCACTGATACATATTTATCTTAGCAACTCAGTTTACCTGTATGTAAGGTATTATTTGTATGTATGTATATGCATATACACAAACACATGCTCACATATAGATACATTATACAAGGAGAATCAGTCAAACCCATTGCACAGATAGCATACATCTGATCCATGTTGCATTGCTCCCATGGGACTTAAGGACATGAGAAGCCCTTGAAGATAAGGTGATGATCCTTTGTCATACCATGGATAATCAAGTCTTTGTCTCTAAGGAAATTATGTCTTCTGCCAGCATTCCTGACACAATAGGCTATTACCTTGTAAATAGGATGAAATCAAATCCCAGTCCCAATAACATTTTCCCATGTCATTGAAAATTCTTTAAAAATCTAAATTTTAAGATCTGTAAAATATTATAGTGGGTAAGTAGATATACTGTTATTTTAAGCCATTCTGTTGTTGATGATTTTCATTTTAGTTTGCTTTGTAATTAATGTCTCATGTACATTTGTCTCCTTTGATGATTATTTACATGGGATTCATTTTTAAAAGCTTAAAGGCTCAAGGTGGTGAAAGTTGGCTTTTTTTCAGTGTAAAAAAGGTTATTTAAATTGAAAAAAATATAATATTAACAAATATCTTTTTCTTTAGGAGACACCTCTCAAGAAGACATAGCTGAAATTATTCAGTCCAAGTTGCAATCAGGTATTACTACTTCTGGAGATTCAGACATTGGATCCCATTTATCCTTGTCCTCCGAGGACTTGCCTCAGTTGGCTGTAAGTTCTCACAAAAATACTACTGGTCAGCCCATCAATACTCTTAACCAAAAGGCCTTGCCAGACAGTCATCAAACTGCAGCAAGTCTGAAAGTCTCACATATTACCGAACTAGCTGAGCAGAAGACTGGCATACCAACAGAACCTCCTCTTTCCTACTCACGTGTGGAGAAGCCCAATATTTTGTACCAACAGGGCTTGCCAGATGGTCATCTAACAGATCAGTTACTGACAGATTCAGTTGTCCCTGGACCTGCTGATCAGAATACTGAGACAGCAACTGTCCCCTCTCCTTCCTACTCACATAGAGACAAACCCAGTATTTTCTACCAGCAGGAGTTGCCAGGTAGTTATCTAACTAAGGAGGCTCTGAAAGTTTCAGCTGTTCCTAGAGCACCAGACCAGAAGACTGGCATACCAACTGTAAGCTCTACTTCCAACTCAAATAAAGAGGAACCTGGTATTTTCTATGAACAAGATTTGCCAGAGAGTCATTTAATTGAAGAGACTCCAAAAGTTTCAGGTGTTCCTGGGCCACCTGACCAGAAGAGTAGAACACCACATGTAACCTCTACTTCTTACTTACAAAGAAAGAAGCACAGTAGTTTATACCAAGAAGGCTTGCCAGATGGTCATCTACCTGAACAGTCACTAAAAGTTTCAGCTGTCCCTGAATCAGCTACATGGAAGACTAGCATACAAACTATAACCTCCCCTTCCTACTCACAAAAAGATAAGCCTGATCTTTTCTACCAGCAGGCTTTCCTAGACAGTCATCTAACTGAAGAGACTCTGAAAGTTTCAGTTGCTTCTAAGCCAGCTGACCAAAAGATTGGAATAACTACAGTCTCTTCTAATTCCTATTCACATGGAGAAAAGTCCCATACTTTGAATCTTCAGGCCTTGCCAGAAAGTCATTTAACTGCTAAGAACCTGAAAGAACCTATTCTTCCTGGATTTGCTGACCAGAAGACTGAAATAGTAGCTGTCTCCTCTACTTCCAACTCACTTAGAGAGAACAGCATTTTTTACCAACAAGAGTTGGCACAGAATCATCTAACTGAAGAGACTCTAAAAGTTTCTACTGCTCCTGGACCCAGTGACCTGAAGACTGGGATACTAACAACACACTCTGGTTTTTACTCACAGAGAGGGAAACCTGGTGTTTCCTACCAACAGACCTTGTCAGACATTTATACAACTAAAGAGCCTTTGAAAGCTTCACCTGTTTATGGATTAACTGACCTGAAAACTGGGACACTAGCAGTATCCTCTGTTTCCCACTCACATAGAGAAAAGCCCAGTGTTTTCTATGAACAGGAGTTGGCAGATAGTCATCCAGCAGAAAAGTCTCTGGAAGAATCTGTTGTTCCAGAACCAGCTGACCAGAAGACTAGTATATCAACAGTAACCTCTATTTCATATTCACATAGAGAGAAGCCTATTTCCTACCAGTCGGTTCTGTCAGATAGTCATTTACCTGAAGAGACTCTCAAAGTTTCAGCTGTTTCTGGACCAGCTGACCAGATATCTAGTATACCAACTCTAACCTCTGCCTCCTACTCATATAAAGAGAAACCCAGCATTTTCTATGAGGACAAGTTGCTAGATAGTAATCTAGAAAATGCTCTAGAAGTTTCATCTGCCCCTGGACCAGCAGAACAGAAGATAGGAACATCAACAGTGTCCTTTGCTTCCTACTCACAAATAGATAAGCCTGGTGTTTTCTATAAGCAGGCCTTGTTAAAGAGTCATCAAGCTGAAGACATTTTGAAAGTTTCATCTGCTCCTGGACCAGATAACCAGAAAGATGGCATATCAACTGTAACCTCTACTTCCTACTCACATAAAAAGGACCCTGGTATTTCCTCCCAACAAGAGTTACCAGAGAGTTATATACCTAGAGATTCCTCAGAAGTTTCAGGTTCTCCTAGACCAGCTGACCAGAAGACTGGAACACCAGCAGAATCTTCAAATTCCTACTCACTTGGAGAGAAATATGTTATTTATTATCAACAAGTCTTACCAAGTAGTCATCTACCTGAAGAGGCTCTGAAAGTTTTAGCTGATTCTTCAACAGCTGAACAGAAGACCGGGACACCAGCAGGACCTTCAGATTCCTACTCACCTGGAGAGAAACCCATTATTTTCTACCAACCCATCTTGCCAAGTAGCCGTTTACCTGAAGAGGCTCTGAAAGTTTTAGCTGATTCTGCAGCAAAAGAACAGAAGACTGGAACACCAGCAGTATCTTCAGGTTCCTACAGACTTGGAGAGAAACCCATTATTTTCTATCAGCAGTCTTTGGCAGATGGTCATCTACCTAAAGGGGTTTTAAAAGTTTTTGCTTCTCCTGGACCAGCTGACCTGAAGACTGAGAAATCAACAGTATCCCCTACATTATACTCACTTGGAGAAAAACCCATTATTTTCTACCAGCAGGCCCTGCCAAATAGTGAAGTAACTAAAGGTGTGAAAATTTCAGTTGTTCCTGAACCAGCTGATCAGAAGACTGAGATCTCATCTACTGTAACCTCCTCTTCCTACTCAGATAGAGAGAAGAATATTTCTTACCAGTGGGAGTTGCCAGATAGTCGTCTAACCGAAAAGGCTGAGAAAGTTTCACTTGGTTCTGAACCAGTTAACCAAAAGACTGGGACACCAACAGTACTCTCTACTTCCTACTCATACCCTAGTGTTTCTTATGAGGAAGTGTTTCCAGATCTTAATGAAGAATCTTCGAAAGTTTTAGGTGTTGTTGGAACTGATGAAAAGAAAACTGGAATACAAATAGTGTCCTCTACCCCTTACTCAAATAAAGAGAAGCCTAGTGTTTCTTATAAGGAAGTGTTTCCAGATCTTAATAAAGAAGCTTTGAAAGTTTTAGGTGTTCTTGGACCTGCCAAACAGAAAACTGAAATACAAATAGTGTCCTCTACCCCTTACTCAAATAGAGAGAAGCCTGTTGTTTCTTACCAGCAAGTGTTGTCAGGTGTAAATGAAGAAGCTTTGAAGATTGTAGATGTTTCTGAGCCTTCTGACCAGAAGACTGGGATATACATAGTGCCCTCTTCCACTTCCTCACAGGGAGAACAGACCTTTGTTTCTTACCAGCCTTATGAGGAGTTACCAGATCTTCCTGAAGTAGCTTCAAAAACAGCAGAGGTTTCTGGACCTGCTAATCAGAAGCCCAGGATACAAACAGTGTCCTCTGTTTCCTATTCACATGAAGAGAAGCCCAGTGTTTTTCAACAGCAGGAGGTGCCAAATATTACTGAAGATGCTTTAAATGTTGTTGTTCTTTCTGGACCAGATGACCAGAAGATTAGGGTACCAACAACACCTTTTTTAAGTTTCTACTCACATAAAGAAAAGCCCAGTGTTTCCTCTCCACAAGAGTTTCCAGACAGTTATCTCACTGAAGAAGCTCTGAAAATTTCAGCTGTTTTTCTACCAGCAGAACAGAAGGCTGGGACACGAACAGGACCTTTTGATTCCTCCTTCCATGGAGTGAAGCCCAGTGATCTAACTGAAGAGTCCCTGAAGGATTCAGCTGTTGCTAGACAAGCTGACCAGACAAATAGGGTACCTACATTACCATCTAATTTCTACTCACATGAAGAGAATCCCAAAATTTCAACTGTAAATGCACCAGACGACCAGAAGACTGAGTCACCATCAACTACCCACAGTTCCTACTTACAGAAAGAGAAGTCCAATATTTCAACTGTGATTGGCCTAAATGACCAGACAACTCCATTACAGACAGTTTTTTATAGTTCATATTCCCAGAGAGTAAAACCTCAGCAGCAGTTGCCAGATAGAGTTCAAAGTGGAGATACTCTAAAGATCTCAGCTGTCCCTGAACCAACTGAGGTAAATACTGGGATACCAGTACCTCTCTCTGGTTCTTATTTGCACAGAGATAAATCTAATACTTTCTATCTACAGGAATTGCCAGACAGATACCTAACTGAAGATGCACTGAAAGTTTCAACAATCCCTGAGCCAGCTGATCAGAAAATGGTGTTGCCAGGATCTCCTCCTAGTTCCTTTTTGTACAGTGAAAAACAAAATATTTTCCATCAGAAGGATATGCCAGATAGACATCTAACTGAAGATACTCTGAAGGTCTCACCTGGTCTTAGGCAAGCTGATCAAATTACTGAGTTACCAATAGTTTCCTCTGGAACTTATTTACCTGATGAGAAACACAGACTTGTTTCAGAACATGTCCAAAGGCTAATACATAATTTGAATTCCTCTGACTCTAGTTTTAGACCAAACAATATGCCTTTAAATTCTCAGGTTGATGATGGGGTTGTAACTAAGCCAGAATCTTCAGGTTTTGCAGATACTGGCTCTAAGGAAGTCCAGGGTACAGCAAATAGTTCTAAAACTCTTAAAGAAATTCAGACACTTTTAATGGAGGCAGAAAATATAGCACTGAAACGCTGTAACTTTTCTGGTCCACTCATTCCCTTCAGAGATGTTAATGATATTTCATTTATACAATCTAAGAAGGTAGTTTGCTTCAAGGAACCTTCCACAATTGATGTATCTAATGATGATATGCTACAGAGAGAGCCATTTACAGAGGAAAACTCAAACAACAGGTGCATACAAAAGGATATTGACACACAGACAAGTGTGAAATGCCAGAGAGGCATTGAAAATTGGGAGTGTATTAGTTCAACAACAATTAGAAATCCTTTACAGGAAGCAGAAAGCAAAGCCAGGGTGGCATTAGATGAAACTTTTAGGCAATATGAAATAGCCAAGTCTGTGCTGAGGTCTGAACCTGAAGGTTATAGTAGAACCATTGGGAATAAAATTATTATCCCTATGATGACTTTCATAAAAAGTGAATCAAGTAGTGATGCAAGTGATGGAAATGCTTCCTGCTCTTGGGACAGTAATTTGCCAGAGTCTTTGGAATCGGTTTCAGATGTTCTTCTAAACTTCTTTCCATATACTTCATCTAAGGCAAGCCAAACAGATAGCAGAGAGGAAGAGGGTGTATCAGAGAGTGAGGATGGTGGTGGTAGTGTAGATTCACTGGCTGCACATGTAAGAAATCTTCTGCAGTGTGAATCCTCGTTGAATCATGCCAAACAAATACTTAGAAATGCAGAAGAAGAAGAATACCGGGTACGAACACGAGGTAAGATGTGATCATTTGTCATATCATCATGCTCAGTCTTATAAATATTATAGTTAATAATTTGCTTAAAAGTTAGATGTTTGGAGTTCTTTATTTTCTTATAGAACTTGTTAGAATGATAGTATATTCTATCAGCAGTGCAGAAAAAAATAATAATGTAGCTAAGGTAGAATATTAATAGTGTGAGTCTGAGTTTACAATCTTTGAAGAAGTATATAGATTCTGTTGTGTCACATAGAGAGTAAGAAAGTAGCTTGGATCTCCAAGCTCCTTTTATGTTTCTCTATTCTTCCCATTGTAGTATCCTTTTGGGGAGAAGGCAGAAAAAGCCTCCAGTTTACTGTTCTCCAAATTGTCTTGTATTCTAAAACTATATATATTTTCTCTTCTCCTTTTCTAATAAAATCCATAAAGCTGATCTCATATGTTAAAAAACAAGACATGTGAAGGTATTTTTACACTAAGACTTGTGCTAGAAAAGAGAATATTTACTAATCTCATTGATCTCTAAAAGTAGAACTCTCTTAAAAGCAAGTAAAAGCTTTTTTTTTTTTTTTTTTGGTACCAGGGATTGAACTTGGGTCCTTGCGCTTGCACAGTAAAATCTTTAATATATATGGAGAATATGTTTTGGGGGACAATTTATGAGCAGCTCAGGCCTACATGGGAATCTTCCTTTGAGAAGAAAGTTCTGTACTGTTCCTTGTACGTTTTGACTCTACAAAAAATTCTCTAGTTTTATTAATTTAAAAGTAATCAGCTTTTGTAAAAGTGGTCATAACTGTAGGTAGGAGCTAAAAGGGAAGGAAAAAGGACTCTATTGATTGAAGGGAGATTAAGATAAAAATGATTTAATACCGTATTTAAAATGTTTTCTTTGGAGAAATACTGTACAGTATGGTTTTTAAAAAATACTCTTCAGTAAAATGATCTCTCTCAAGAACTTTAATAGCTTATATAATAGCTTAAGCATTATGGTTTGTGTTAAGCTGCGTATACTGATGATTTTCTGTGCTCTTATAATCAATGGAAAATTACCACTTTTGTACTGTATTATCTCAATGTTGCTATGCTTTCTTTCCAGCCTGGAATATGAAGTATAATTTAGCTGATGACCATGGATACTCCATATCAGAATTAAATGAAGATGACAGAAGGAAAGTAGAAGAGATCAAAGCAGAGTTGTTTGGTCATAGTAGAACACCTGACTTGTCTGAGGTATAAAAGCAATCTAGTAAAGAAAACAGAAAATGTGAAAGCAAAGATGGTGGAAATTTAATCTCTTATTGGGGCATTGGTGATCACAGCATAGTTGCCGATAATCTTTGGGTAAAGTGTTAGGTGTTTTGTTTGTTTTTTTGTAGTGTTGAGGATTGAACCTAGGGCCTCACACATGCTAGATGACTGCTGTACCACTGAGCTACATCCCCAGCCCAGTGTTAGTTGTTTTAAATGTCAAAAGTTAAAATTTAAGGATTGGATTCTGTAAGTTTTGATTAATTCAAAATTCATCTATTGAGAAAAAATTTATCTTAGGAAAATAAAAATTGATTTGATTATTTTATTAATGTAGTTTTAGAACAGAGAGACTAAATATCACATACTTTTTTTTTCCTTAAGATTGACCTCTTGAAATGCAAATGAAGTCTAGCTAGCTTCAGATAGATATTCTCTACTTAACACCACAAATATAGGGTTGGAGGTGTAGCTCAGCGGTAGAGCATTTTCCTGGCATATGTGAGGACATTGGGTTTGCTCCACAGTACTGGAGAAGAAGAAGGAAAAGAAGACAATTATAATTTCTTTTTTTTTGGTACCAGGGATTGAACTCAGGACTTTGCGCTTGCGAGGCAGACGGCGGAAAATCCCAGGCCCTTAGGACACAATTACAATAGCTTATGTAGAAATGACTTTTTTTTTTTTTTAAACAGGGTCTCTCTATGTAGTTCAGGCTGTCCGTGAACTCACTATGTAGTCCAGGCTGGCCTTGAACTCCCAGGATTCTCCTGCCTCAGCCTCTGGAGTGCTGGGATTACAGGCATGTGCCACCATGCCCAGCAACCTTATTTTTAATAGAACTTATTTTCTCTCTTTTGAGCTATTTCATACATGGGAACACTTATATAAAGAATAAAGAGAAGTTAAAATAATTCCTGTGTATCTACTATTCAGCTTGAGAAATAGAACATTGCCAAATACCATTGTATCTCCCTCTCCAGTCACTTCTTTTTGTTTGTTTGTTTTGGGTGGAGCTGGGGATTGAATCCAGGGTATTATGCATGCTAAAAGACTGCTATAGCTTTACCAGTTACAGTTGCTTCAGTCCTAAACTCTTGTCCTAAGCTTACAGTCCGAAGCTCTTGTCATACCTTTTTTATCCTGGCATGTATGAGTTTTCTACTCTTCAGTATGGTTTTGAGCTTTATATAGATGGAATCACTATGATGTATCTTTTTTTGAAAGTTGGTTTTTCACAATGTTAGGCTTCTATGTAGATGGATTTTGGTTTATTTTTTTGTACAGTATATTTATTTTAGCATCTATTGATATTTGTCTTTTTTAATGAGATAGCTATAATTTGAGGAGTAAAAAATTTCATCATTCTTTGAGCCTTCCTTCTCCACCATTTATTTATATCAATATGGACTCTTAGTTTTTTCTTTTACTTAAAGGATTACAATGTGTTACTATCATTATTTATTTGGATAATCAAATTATCCCACATTGTCAAACTGGTTCCTATGTATTTTTCTCATGTTTCCATCATTCTTAGAGCCTTTACTTACTCTCTGGTATAGGAAGATATTCCAGGCATATCTTGTATATTCTTTTCCTCCGACTTGAAGTTGGCCATTTCTCTAAGAGACCCCAGTTCCTTTCAACAGAAGTGGTATTTAAATACCCAAGTCTGTATGCTTGCTTGTTTTTGTTTTTTTGGTACCAGGGATCGAACTTGGGACCTTGCACTTGCGAGGCAGGTGGTGGAACCACTGAGCTAAATCCCCAACCCCAAAATCTGTATGTTTGATGTGCCTATTGAATCATGACACTGTTTCCTTTATGTTCTTTCAGCAGTATGTATAGACATAATTACACACACACACACACACACACACACACACTCTTGGATTAAAATTTGTGAGAACTGTGAATTTATACTGGTGTATCCAATTCCATTCCAGTAGTCTAGGGTTATTCTATCCTTTTCCTCTTTCTGTGTTTGTAATTCACTTCCCCAGTAGTGAGAAACCTAGCTCTCATAATCCTAAATACTACTTCATGTAAAAGTAGCCAAAATAAAAGAACAATACTGTTGGCAAAGCTGTGAAGCAAATGGAACTATACATTGCTTATGGGAAAGTAAATTGGTACCATATTCTTAAAAATGAAGTGACAATTATTTTGTAAACATGCCTGGCCTTGGATGTCAGTCCTACATTTTTAAGTGTTTCCTCAAGGTATCAGTGTATATGTTCAGCAAAAGACATGAACAGAAATAATTATAGTGTCCAAAATTTGAAAACAACATAAATGTCTATCAAGGATAAAATAGAGGAATCAGATAAAATTTGTATAAAGTAGAATTCTATATAGCCAAAAAAATTAATCTCTGTAGCTCTAAAAGATCTCACACAAATTATGTTTAGCAAAAATCCCAAACACAAAGGAGTAATATTGAATAGTTCTATTTTCTTCAAAAATTATCCAGGCTCAGGTATTTTGTAGTAGAAACAGAAAATAGATTAAAACACTTGCTTACATTTGAAGAGCTTTTATGCCTCTTTTCATTCAATACCACATAAAGGACAGACAATACTGGCCCCACCAGAAGTAACTATTATTACTTTTGCCACCATTGATTAGTTTGTTTTTGAATTTCATATAAACTTACGCATCCATCACCACCATCTATCTCCAAGACTTTTCACCTTTCAAAACCTTGTTAATCCAAGACTTGAGTTCTTAAAAAGTACCTTTATAGCTGAATATTTCTGTTGAGTTTTTGGTATATTCATAACAAAAAGTTCGAAGGAAAAAAAAATACCTGAAATAAAAAACCATGTTTATATGGGTGACTCAAGTTGTCAGTGTATATTTCCCATGCCACCTAAGCAGTTCTAGTACATCAATAAAAATTTCTCAATTTACTTGAGGTTAATGACAAAATCTCACAAAGACACTCCTGAAAAAGAAAATTGTGGAATAATTTTTAACCTTAGTTGTAATGTTTCCACTTTCACGTCTGCTTATTTTTGTCCATACTTGATGTTTTTCTTAGTTTAGTTAAATGTTTATCATCTTTAGTTTTATCTTTTCAAAAAACAACTCTTAGTTTTATTGATTTTATGCTATTATTTTTCTATTACCTATTTTATTTATTTTTGCTGAAATGTTTATTATTTCCTTGTAGTTTAGGGCTTATTTTGTTCTTTTTCTGGTTCCTTGAGGTGTGAAGTTGGGATGCTTATTTGAATTCTTTCTTTTTTAATGTAGGCATTTTTCACTCACACTTCCCTCTCAGCATTGCCTTTGCAATAGTCCATAAGTTTTGGTGTGCTATATTTTTGTTTTCCTTTGTCTCAGGTATTTTCTGACACTTCCATCCATCCACTGGTTGTTCAAGTATGTAGTTTTATTTCCACATATTTGTAACTTTTTTCAGGTTTCCTTTTGTTAGTATCTTCTAGTATCAATCCATTGTTGCTTGGGGGAAAAAAAACTTGATGTGATTTCAGTGTTGCTAAATTTGTTCAGACTTGTTTTGTGACCTAACAGATAATCATTCCTGAAGAATGTTATGTTCTCTGGAGAGGAATGTGTATTATGCAGCTGTTGAGTAGAATGTTCTGTATATGTGTGTTCTATTCATTATTGAAAGTGGGGTTTTGAAGCCCTCTACTATTGTATTGGTGCCTTTTTCTCCTTTCATTTCTGTCAGTGTTTGGGTTATATATTTAGGTGCTCTGGTGTTAAGTGCACGTATATGTGTAATTGTTACATCTTCCCTTTTATCATTATATGACATTCTTTGTCTCATCTGACAGTTTTTGACTCAAAGTATATATGGCTGATAGTATAAACACTAATGTGCTTTTTTGGTTACTGTTTGCTTAGAATATTTTTCCATCCCGTCACTTTCAGCATGTGTTTATTCATAAAGCTAAAGTGAATCTCTTGTAAATAGCATGTAATTGGATTAAAAAAACTATATAGTCACTTTATAGCTTTTGATGAGAGAGTTTAACCCATTTACATTTAAAGTGATTATTGATAGGGAAGAACATACTGCCATTTTGTGTTTTCTGCCTTGTAGTTCTTTTGTCTTTGAGTCTTCCTTTGTGATAGTTCATTTTTTTTAGTGATAGGCTTTGATTCCTTTTTCTCTTTTGCCTCTTCTATAGGTATTTTCTTTGTTAGTATGGTGAGGTTTACATAAAACAACTTTTAGCATAAGCAACAAAACCAAAAATTGATGAATAGGACTACATCAGACCAAAAGCTTCTGTACAGCAAAGGAAACAACAGAATGAAGTGGCAATTTATGGCAGAAAGTATTTATGGCAGAAAGCCATATCTCTGAAAAGAGGTCAATATCCAAAATGAAGAACTTTAAAATCTCAATATAAAAAACCAGCCTGGTTAAAAAAATGTGCCGTGACTTGAATGAACATTTCTCCAAAGAAGACATACAAATGGCCAACAGGTATATGAAAAAGGGACTCAGTATCACTAAACATTAGAAAGATGCAAATGAGAACCACAGTGGCATAATCACACATTAGGATGGTTAAGTTTTAAAAATGTAACATATTGAAGAGGATATGGAGAACATTATGCTGAGTGATATAAGTCAGTCAAAGACAGACAAATATGGAATGATGCATTCTCTGAGGTACCTAAAGTTGTCAAACTTACTGAAACATAGTAGAATAGTGTCTACCAAGAGCATGGGGAAGGGCAAATTGGGAGTTGCTGTTCAACAGATACAAAGTTCCAGTCATGCAAGATGTGTAAGTTTGAGAGGTCTATGGTACAATATTGTGCCTATAGTTAATAATGCTATATTATGCACTTCAAAAGTTGTTGAGGGTAGTTCTCATGTGGAGTTATTTTACCACAATGATATATCTATGTATTTTTTCTTTAAGAATAGAACAAATTGGGTTCTGTGGCCCATGCCTCTAATCCCAGCTGAGGCAGGAGGATTGGAAGTTGGACCCCAGCTTGGCAACTTAGTGAGACCCTGTCTCAAAATAAAAAATACAAAAGAGTTGAGGATGTTGGTCAGTGGTAGAGTTCCTCTAGGTTTGATCCCTAGTACAAAAACAAAACAAGGAAAAGCAAGAAAGAAAAATAAAGAAAAAAGAATAACAGTGACTTAATATGATAAAAATATGTATTTTCTTCCATTAAAACAACCAGTAAATTGCTAAATACTATCAGAATCAACTTTTGCAGAACTGGAATCTCGTGAAAAACTTTCTAAAAAAATAGGAAAAATTTGTAAAGTAAGGCACTGTTGCATTGCATTCAGAGAGTGCTGTGGCATTTTATATTGCTTGCCTGCCATCCTCCATGCCAAATTAACAGTGCTTTTGAAGACAGAAGCCCACTCACTTTTCTGTTACTGGTTGTCAGTGCCAGAAGACTCAATGCAGATTTCATTCTAAAAAAATTGTAGGTTAGTGTTTCCGCTTGTCTGAAGTCTCCCAGAAGAATTGGTGCAGGGGATTCCTTTTGTTTTAACTAACTTGAAGTTTTCCCGTGGCAAGGGTGATTTCCCCAGCAGCATTTGTCAAAAGCATTTGAAGGCCAAAGTATATGGTATGACAACCTAGGTCTAGGGATAATAATTAGCACAGACAATAGAAAGAGAAGCTTGACAAGTACTTGTCTTTGTCGCTGTTTTATTTAGTATTGTTATCCTCAAAATTTATTCATGTTATATACTGTGTCAGAATTCTCTTCCTTTTTAAGACTTTATAGTATTCCATTGTATATGTCTGCTACATGTTTTGTTTATGCATTCTTCTGTTAATGGATACTTCAGTTGTTTCTGCTTTTTGACTGTCATGAATATTGCTGCTATGAACATGATTGTATAGACATCTCTTTGAGATCCTGCTTTCTTTTTGGTATACATGCAGCAGTAGAATTGCTAACTTAAATAGTCATTCTCTCTTGAAGTTTTTAAGGAAGGTCCGTACTGTTTTCCATAGAAGCTGTTTTCCATTTCCACCAACAATGGTTACAGTAGGACAAGGGTTCTAATTTCTCTACATCCTTGAAAGCACTTGCTATGTTTTGTTTGTTTTGTTTTTATGGTTATCCTAATAAATCTGAGTTAACACCTCATTGTGTTACTGATATTCATTGCCCTTGTGATTAGTGATCCTGAGCTTTTTTCAATTGTTGTCCTATTGTACATTTTCTTTAGAGAAATGCCTGTTTAAGTTTTTTGTCCATTTTTGAATTGGGTTGGTTGCTTTGGGGGGTTGTTTTGTTTTTGAATTGGGTTGTTTGTTGGTTTTTTTGGAGGGGAGAGGTTAAGTTGTAGGTTTTTTAAAATGTATTTTGGATACTAAACCCCTATTAGAAATGTGATTTGTAAATATTCTCTTCCATTTAATAGGTTGTCTTTTCACTGTGTTGATGATGTTTGATGCACAGAAGTTTTAAAATTTTATCTAGCCCAGTTTATCTATTTTCATTTTTGTGGTCTGTCTCTGGTGAAGTAATTTTTATGTATGGAATGCAAATTCATTCTTTGTATGTGGATATTTAGTTATTTCAGTCTGTATGTTGAAAAGATGATTCTTTCCTCATTTCTTGACCTCTTTATAAAAGATTCTACTGTAAGTGTTAGTGTATATATCTGGACTGTCCTATGGATTCACTTTTCAGGATTACACATGAGAGAAAGTGTATTATTCTAATTTACATTACTATAATAAAATACTAGAAGCTAGGTACTTTATAAAGAAAAGAGGCCTATTTAGCTCTGGAGTGCAAAGTTCAAACAGCATGGTGCTACTCTGGTGAGGGTCCCCTGGCTATATCACCTCATGGTGAATGGCATCACAGTGGCAGTAGCAAATGTATTAATGATCACAAAGCAGGAAGCCAGAGCACAAAGAGGGACTTTTAAAAATATAACAGTTGCTCTTGAGATAACTAATTCAGAGCCTTGCAAGAACTACCTTAAGGTGAACATGGTGGTGCATAATCTACACCTTGAAGTTGAAACAGGAGGACTACAAATTTGAGCCCCTCGTAGCTACTTAGAGAGACCCTGTCTCAAAATTAAAAAATGAAAAATAGGCTAGCAATATAGCTCAATCCCCGGTACCACAACAAACCAACCAACCAACCAACCAAACAACCCCCCAAAAAACCAAAGCCCAAAACTGGGAATGTAGTTTAGAGCAAAGACCCTGGGTTCAATTTCTAGTACTACAAAAGAAAACAGAAACCAACAAAGAAAGAATATAGAGAGATCATATATAACTTTCACCCAGTTTCCTCCAGTGGTAACATTTTGGAAAAATGTAGTGATATATCATGGCCACAATATTGACACTGATACAGTCAATATACTGAACATTTACATTGCCGCAAGAGTGCCTTTTAAGTCCTGGCCTCCTGCTTGGTCTTCTCTCACAGCACACTGACTGGGGTGTTGGGATAGTTTATTACAGTTTTGTAAGAGTAAAAATCTGTGTTTCTCACTTAGCCTTTGTTAGTGTGAATGTAGGTCAGGCTATAGTTTTTCCTGGGGTAGTTTGTTGGAGTAGAACAATTATGATCTAAAAGTTTTATGTTTGGGTCATCTGTACTTTTACTGGTTTTTGTTAGGCTTTGGTCTGTACCTGTTGTTCCTGGGTTACTGGCCTCTTTAGCTCCAAAACTGGATAAATGAGACAAAAAGAAAACCCAGAATTTCACCACTATGTCATTTCTTAAATTCCAAGGTCCCTAGCTAGTTTACTTTCTTCTCTACATCTTTCAGAGTCTTCATAAGAAGAATGTGATTCACATACAATGTCTGGGAGGTTTAATTTTATTTAGAGGATTAGAGAAAAGTATATCTACTCCATCATCTGGAAGAAGGCATCATAATTTAAATATCTTATATGAAATAAAATGTGAGGGGCTGGGGATTTAGCTCAGTGGTTCTGTTGCCTGCCTCGCCGAGCGCAAGGTCCCCAGTTCGATCCCTGGTACAAAAAAAAAAGAAAAGAAATACCTTTCTGAAATGAAATGTGCTATGCCATCAAATAAAATACCAAATTATAATGCCTTTATAGGTAAAACACAGAAGCTTTGAATAAATTTTTTATATTTATGGTAGCTTTAGACATTGATTTTATATCCCAGGAAAAGATACCAACTAATTCTTTTTCCTATTCACAGGAGTAAAGTCAAACCTTTGTACTAGAGTGTCAAAAGTAACCTCAAATGAGTTTGAATGGCTCCAATAAAGTGGAATGAATTTTTCTTTTGTAATAGAGTAGGGTATGAAAGTTAACTCTGTTCCTTGAGCTTATCCAAGACCCAAACTGGCTGGGCACTTGAGCTGTCAGATGCATGACTTGCACCATTTTCAGATAGCAAGAGTAATTATTACGAAATGGTGATGGTAGTTGTGGAACATAGAGGTCAGGAAATGGATTTTAAGGACGAGAAACAAGACTAAACATGGTCATATGATCACAGTTATCTAGGAAAGAAATGAGAAATGTCTCCAGTTTGGTGGCTTTATGGTCATCCAAAGTTTGGGCAAGGTACTTCTGTTACTAAAAAGAAGAAGATGAGAATACTTATTGGGGAGCAATTGTAGTCTTTGTTGTAATACAGTAGAAAATTTTTAGGAGAACTCTTCTGAGTGGCCTTAGTTATGAGCCTTTTTGTTTTGTACTTAATTGTCATTTTCTTGCTGAATTCTTTGACTTGTTTCATTTATAAAAAAGAGTGACATGATTTTCATGGCCAAATATTAATCTGGATAGAAAACTCATCAACATAATAAAAGCTATTTTGACTACTTAAAGTAAGAAAAATTTATGTCTTTTAGGGTTTACAGAGTCCACGGGGAATAGGAGGCACACCTGAACCTGTATGTGGTCACATTATTATTGAAAGCCATGAAAAAAGATGTTTCAGGACTCTGACTGCTGAAGAGCCACAATTGGACAGCCACTCTTGTGTTTTTAGATCTGCTGAACCCTCAGAAATGATCAGAGGACGACAGTGCCCATCACCATGGAGAGCCAGGCACATCAATTTTTCTAAATCACTAGACCAGAACAACACCAATTTCAAAGTTTGGAATTCCTTGCAGTTACAAAGTCATTCCCAGTTTCATAACAGCGTCAGCAAAGGTTTTCGAATGCCATCCCGTGAAAAAATGGACCCCCGGCTGTCAGAATTAGTAGAACCTGCTTGTGTGGATTTTCATTCTTCGACACAAATACCTACCCCCGAACCCATGAGAGAGTTTACTACCTCCATCACATTTTCATCTCACCGACATTCTAAACGCATTTCAGATTCCTCTGTTTTTAAGGTTGGTGTTACTGAAAGTCAAGGTACTGGAGCATCTGTGGGGGTATTTAATTCTAATGTCACTGAAGAGCAAACTCCTCCTAGAAATCTTAAACAGAAAACCACTTCCCCTTCACTTAAAACACTTAATCATTCACCAGATAAAGATGTGACTATTGTACCAGAAGGTAATAGGCAAAGTGAAAAATTACCTGTTGAATTTGAGCATTCTCATCAAGAAGAAAAACTCTTAGAAAGATCAGATTTTAAAGTCAGCCCTTCTGAGCCCAGTAGCAGTGCAAATTGTAGCAATTTCAAGGAAGTTCAATTTTCTGATAACCATACCCTCATTAGCATGAGCAGACCAAATTCCACACTAGGAGTAAAAGAGAAGAATATAACTGTAACTCCAGATCTTCCTTCAGTCATTTTTCTTGAACAACGAGAGCTTTTTGAGCAAAGTAAAGTCCCGCATGCAGATCACCATGTGAGAAAACATCATTCTCCATTTTGTCCAAACATTCCTTCTTGCATTTTTCTTGAACAACGAGAACTCTTCAAACAAAGCAAACCCCCACATATCGACCATCCGATGAGAGAAAACCATTCTTCCTTTCCCCATTGTCAGGAATATATAGCTTCAGATCCTCCTTCCATTTTTCTTGAACAGCGTCAAAGCAAAGCCCCAAGTGTAGATGACCACATGAGGAAAGATCATTTTTCTCTTTCTCAAGGTCAGGATTGTTTAGTAGAAAAGAACAAACATATGCCTCAGTCACACATTTCTAATATAAATGTTGAAGCTAAGTGCAATAATGTGATCTACCAGTTACCTCCTGATCACTGTACATTAGCAACATCTGCATCTGCTCCACCTTCAAATAAAAAAGCACTTTCCTGTGTTCGTATAACTCTTTGTCCCAAGACTCCTTCCAAGTTGGATAGTGGAACCTTACATAAAAGATTTTATTCATTGGACTCTGCTTCTAAAACAAGGTTGAATAGTGAGTTTAACTCTGATCTGCAAGCTATATCTTCAAGTTCATTGGAACCAACCTCCAAATTATTGACCCGTAAATCTGTAGCACAGAATCAAGGATCTTTAGGTTTTCTAGCACCTAAATCTCCTCTGGACTTACAAGTTGCACAGTCTCCTCTTCCAGATAGTAATTCTATTGCTCAGGATTTGAAAACTGTACCTTCTCAGAATAGCCAGATAACAACCTCAAGGCAAATACAAGTGAACATTTCACATTTGGAAGGATATTCCAAACCAGAAGGGACTCCGGTATGTGCAGATTGGTGAGTCATGATAACAATGAAGCTGATGGAATTTGTGATAAAGGGTTTAAAATACTTAAGCAAATGTAAGTTCTTGGGAAAAGGCAATATGATTTTTTTTAAGGGAGGTTGTATCTGACTAATCTGCTAGAAGTCTTTCAAGAAGTATATAAATAAGAATATGTGGAGATAATATGTTTATACTTTCAAAGGGCTTTTGGAAAGATTTGACCTCAAATGTTATAAAAAATTGAATTATTTTGAAAGGAATCTTTGATCATCCAATGCTATAATTTACTAATTATTTTTGTGTTTGAGATACACTAAAGATCTCTTTTGGGAGATTGCATGTGTGCCTCTCCCCTCAACCCCCTCTTTGATTATCTTTCATTTCCCTCAAATACTAGTATTCACAAAGAAAAATGGTAACTTTACTAGTGCAGAATCCTGGCAGATAACTATTTTAGCTAGGTGATTAAGGTTAGCATCACGAGTAATACACGTCAACTCACTGTGACATGATCATACTTTTCATGTTGTACTGTAGGAAAGGAAACCCAATTCAAGGATAAATGAAAGATAATTAATATATTAGTCACTTTTGTGTTGCTAGGACAAAACATCAGACACCTTGCAAATAAAAAGAGGAAATGCTTATTTTGGCTCACAGTTTCAGAGGGCTCTGTCCAGGATTGACTGGTTCTAAGGCAGAAATAGAAGGGCAGATTGGCATGACAGAAGAAAGCTGCTCACTCTATGGAACCCAAGAAACAGAAAGAAAAGGGAAGAGTTGAGAGAAAAGAATTCATTCCTCCAGGTTACACCCTAATGACTTATCCCCAGCAAAACCCTGTGTCTGAATATATGTGACTTTTAGGAAACATTTTAGATCCAAACCACAATTAGTCTTAAAAAATTATGTAAATATTCCTCAGCAAACTTTCACTTTATTAATTTGTATCTGTCTAGAGTCATGCTTTCTTATTTAATGGTTTATGTTGTATTGATCAGGTTTCTTTGCTAGGACAAAATACCTGACACCCATAACTTAAGGGAGGAGAGGTTTATTTTGGCTCATGATTTCAGAGGTTTCAGTCCATAGTCCACTCACTGCAAGGCAGAGATTTACTGGCAGAAGGACATAGTGGAGGAAAGCTGCTCAACTCATGGCAGCCAAAGAAAGAGAGTGGGTTGGAAAGCAAGAGAAGAAGGGGTCAGAGACCAGATATATAGTCTCTACGGTCATACCCCCCCAACCCACTTCCTCATATTAAATTCCATATATCAGAAAACATGCAATACTTGTCCTTCTGAGTCTTAGTTATTTTGCTTAACATAGTAATCTCCATTTTCCATAATTTCATTGTTTATAGCTGAATAATAATTATATATAAATACCACATCTCTTTTTTTTTTTGGTACCTGGGATTGAACTTGGGTCCTTGCGCTTGCGCAGCAGGCGGCGAAACCACTGAGCTAAACCCCCGGCCCAATACCATATTTCTTTATCTTCATCTGTTGATGGGTACCTAGGCTATTTCCATTATCTTGGCAGTTGTGAATTGTGTTGTAAATGGATATTTTTATAGAGTACTGATTTTTAATTCCTTCAGACTTATATCAAGGAGAGCTATAGCCGAGTTAATGTGGTAGTTCTATTTTTATTTTTTTGAGGAACCTCCCTATGGATATCCATAGTGACTACTAATTTGTATTCTGAACAGTAATGTAGAAGGGTTCCTTTTCCTTTCACCAACATTTATTCTTTTTTGGATTCTTGATGATAGTCATTCTGAATGAGGTTAGGTGGAATCTCAGTGTAGTTTTTGCATTTCCTTCATGGCTAAATATGTTGAATATTTATTTATAGATTTACCAGCTATTTCTATTTCTTTTGAGAAGTGTCTAATTCATTTGCTCATTTGTCATTTGGGCTATTTGTTGGGTGTTAAGTTTTTTGAGTTCTTTATACATTCTAGATATTACTTTGTTAGAATTGTAGTTGGGAATTTCTCCCATTCTAAAGCCTGTATATTCACTCTTTTAGTTGTTTTTCTGTGCATTTTTTATTTTAATGTTATCTCTTTTGTTGGTTCTTGGTATTATTCCCTGTGCTATTATATTCCTATCAGGATGTCTTTTGCCTGTGCCTCTGACTTCAAGTGTTTCCCTTGTGTTTTCTTTTAGCAATTTCAGTTTCACATCTTACACCTAGGTCTTTGATTCATTTTGAGTTGGTTATTGTACAGGGCAAGAAATAGAAATAGGATGTAGTTTCAATGTTCTGAGCACCATTTGTTAAAAAGGTCGTCTTTTCTCCAACATATGCTTTTGACTTATTTGTAAAAAATAAGATGGTTGGGCTGGGGATTTAGCTCAATGGTTTTGCTGCCTGCTACATAAGCGCAAAGACCCAAGTTCGATCCCTGGTACCAAAAAAAAAAATTAGATGGTTATAGTTGCATTTTTAAAAATGTGTCTTCTATTCTATTGCTCTATATGTTTGTCTTTGTGCCAGTACCATGTTGTTTTTGTTACTATGGCTTTGTAGTATAATTTGAAATCAGGCATTGTGATTCCTTCAGACTTGTCATTTGGCTTCAGATTGCTTTGGCTACCCTGGGTCTTCTGTGTTTCTATATGTATTTTAGGATTTTTTTTCTACTTCTGGATATGTGAGACAAAAACCCCAGGAATTCCATCACCATATCATTTCTCAAATTCCAAGGTCCCTACCCTAGCCTATCTACCTTCTCTACATCTTTCAGATTCTTCATAAGAAGAATGTGTTTCACATACAGTGTCTGGGAGGTTTAATTTTACTTAGCAGGAGGAATAGGGCAAAGTATATCTACTCCATCATCTGGAAGAAGGCATCATAATTGAAATATTTTATATGAAATAAAATGTGCAAATAGAATACCAAATCATAATGCCTTTATCAGTAGGTAAAAGTGTGAAGGTTATTGATATTTTGATGAAGATTTCATTGCCTACACCTCTCTCTAGCATATTAGCTGATAATATTTCCCTATTGCTCCCATAACTCTATAATTACAATAGGATTTTTATTTGTTAATCAATTTTTTTTGCTTTTTGCATAGGAATGCTGGCCTGTGGCCATCGTGTAATAGTGGTGACCTGTTACATCCTATTATTACACTGTCCCTAAAGCAGAAGTCCATTTTAGATGACCTTTATTTGTTCTCTATTTGGAATTTTGTATCTTTGATTACTTTTAAGATTTTACCTCTGATATTTTAATTTTTAATTATATAACTTCTGATATGGAAAATTTAATGAATTTTTAAAAATTTTACCTATCTGGAAATTTTTCTAAACCCCTACTTATATTCTAATTTATATTCTATTTTTGATTTTCTGTATACACAATTTTGCATCTGTTTTCTTTTACTTGTACTTTATTTGGTGAAATGTAGACAAAGGATTAGAGATTCAAAAGTTTTTCTGTCTTTTGATATATCCTTGATATTACTCTAATAACATACAGTATTTGCTTTTTTAAAGCAGAAATTTTAGGGCCGTAGATTTAGCTCAGTGGTGCCACTGCCTGCCTTGCAAGTGCAAGGTCCTAAGTTCGATCCCCGGTACCAAACCCTCCCCCTGCAAAATCAAAAACTAAAATAAAAATTTCAGTGTTTGAATAATTTTAGATTTACTTTAAAGATATAAAATAGAACTGTGTCCTTCTCCCAGCTTTTCCTCTTGTTAAAATCTTAAATTACCATAGCATATGTATCAAAATTAAGACACAAGCATTTGTTCATTGCTATTAATGAGCTCCTGGTCTTTATTTACATTTCACCAATTTTCCATTAATGTCTTTTTTCTCTTCCACCACCTGATCCTTAGTTTAGTTGTTGTTATGGTTTGAATGTTTGTGTCTTCCCCATATTAGTATATTGAACTGCATCCTCTAATGTGATGATTTGGAGGTGGGATCTTTGTGGGGCTGATTAGGTCGTGAGGAAGATTCCCTCATGAATGGGATTAGCGCCCTTATAAAAGAGACCTCAGGGAATTAGGTAGGTAGTCTTTTCTACCATGTTATAACATGGCAAGTAGGTATCATCTGTGAACCAGAAAGCAAGCCTTCACTAGATAACAAATCTGCCAGTGCCTTGATTTTGGACTTACTGGACTCTAGAACTGTGAGCCATAAATTTGTTGTTTTTAAGCCACCCAGTCTATGCTATTTTGATGTAGCAGCCTGAATGGACTAGGACAAACATTGGTATCAAGAAGTAGGGTTGCTACTATAATAAATACCTAAAAATATGGAGGTAGCTTTGGATTTGAGTAATGGGTAGAGGCTGGAAGAGTTTTTAGGTGCATGCTAGGAAAAGATTGCCATGAACAAGATGTTACCGTTCATTTTGGTGTGTGCTCAGAAAAGTGGGAAAACTAGAGAAGTCCTTAATCTTAAAAGGTTTACATCCAGTAGTTTTGAGTAGAATGTAAGAAATTTGCATAGGGAACAAAGATCATTATGATGAGGCTTCAGATAAATTAGGGATGTGTTGTTGGAAACTGGTACAAAGCCATTCTTTCTTATAAAGTGTTAAAGAACTTGGCTGAATTACATTCATGTCCTAATGTTTTGTGAAATGTAGAACTTGCAAATTCTGAATTTGGCTGAAGAATTTTCTAAGCAAGGTGTTGAAGGTGCAGCTAGATTTCTCTTAGATCCTGTTTGTAAAATGCAAGAAGAGAAAAATTTAAAGATGGAATTCTATTTTTAAAAGTAGCAGAAATTTAAAACATGGAAAATTCTTAGTCTTTCCTATTTTAAAAAATGAGAACATATGTTTGGGAGAGAACAACAACAGTGTGGCCAAGTGACCATTTGATAAAGATTACTATGGCCAGCCAGATGGAATTCATCAAGTTAACTGAAGAATTACCCAAAGGGCATTTCATATATCTCTGGGACTACCATTTCCATCTGTAGCCCAGATAAAATTATTGGGGATAACATAATTTCAAAGGAGATGCTTTAGGCAACAATGGGGCCTTGATGCTCACTGCCCAGTACTGCCTGACAGTTCTGCTGCCTGCACTCTCAGAGCCTCAGTGCAGTACTTCATGTGCATACCCCAGCAAAGTTGTGGGGATATAGATACCTTAGAGAGCCATGGATCCCAGATAGGAAATCACTGAGAGAAAGCCCCTGAAGAACCCATAAGACAGTGCCTAGTAGAGTCTAGGGGTAGGGCTATCCCCAAAGCACCAGACTAGTAGAGCCATCTGGGTATAATTCTAGCCTAGAAGAGCTGAGCATGTATAACCTAGACTGAGAGTCATCAAGGAAGTAGGTCTACTACAGAGAACTGTATTAGGGACAGGACTGCCCAAAGCTTTGGGGGCAAAGCCAGTGCCCGAGTGAGTCCAAAAGGCAAGCCCTCCAACCCAGTGACCTCTCTTTTTCTTTCATTTCTCCTTTTCGCAATGAAAATACCTATCCTGTCTCCAGAACTGTGAACAGTACATTCTGTTTATAAGCCATAGAGCAACCCAACTGGCCTGAGCCAGTTATATCTCTTCTTCCTGTGGTATATGACACTTTTTTGTTCCTTCCCTGTTTTTAATGAACTTAGCAGTTTCGAGGAGTACTGGTCAGATATTTTGCAGATGGTTCCTCGGTTTGTGTTTGGCTGATATTTCCTCATGATGAGACTGGAATTTCAGGTTTAGGGAAAGAATGCCATGTAGGTAAGAAGTGCCCCTCTTTCACATCACACAGAGAATATGATATTCTGTTATCACTGGTAATGACAACCTTGATCATGTGAATAAGGCCAGAGTTTGCCTAATTGTTCCATTGCTCCCTCTTATACTGTAGTCTTTGAAGTCCAATCACTAAGTCCAGCGTATTCTCATGGCAAGGAGTGGAGACTTAAGCTTTACCTCCTTTTGTGGGAAATGTCTACACACATTATTTAGAATTCTTCTTAACTTCTCTTCAGCAAAGTATGTCTCTTCTCCCTAATTTCTATTTTAATATGAATTCTGTATATGGATATATAACTGCATTCTTGAAAACTTCTAGTTCCCCCATTTAAATATAACCCCTTGAGGCAGTGTTTCTTCTTTATGTTTGTACATTTTAGATGTAGCATAGTCTCCCCTAATTTATAGCGGCCAGCTAATAAATGAGTGTATATTCACATTAACCGAAAAGTACTATCTTCTCGGTTAAATTATATAATGGCATTGTAAATTAAAATTAAAAGTAAGTTTTAAAGTAAATAAAGCACATGTATGATCACATTTTAATATGCATCTAACAAAATGAAGGGTACCATGGAAATACCTTACCATTTGAGATTGTTGTGTTCACAAAATATTTCTTACAGCTACCTAAATATTACCGGCCAAAGATATGTTCTGTTGTTTCTTGTCTTTTTGGTTCAGTTCACCAGAACGGAGTAAGACCCAATTTTCTGCCTTCTCTGGAAAGTTATCGTCTGATGCAGTCACTCAGATAACAACAGAAAGTCCAGAAAAGACCACATTTTCATCTGAGATTTTTGTTAATGCTGAAGATTATGGACATGAAATTCTAGAGCCCACTATCAGAAAGCTACAGAAAGTTCCTGTCAGGTTTGCTTCATCATCTTCTGTGCAACAGATTACTTCTAATCATGGCACAGATGGTAAGACAGTGTATTTGCATTTAAGGTCATTATACTTTTGTATGTAAGTATCTTAGAAATTTGTGATTGTGTCTTTCTAGTCATTTAACCTAATTTTAATTTAAACAATGGGATCCATATGATTATTATATCTATTTTTTAATTTAGGTAGCCATGAAGATAATATGACTTATTATATTTTTATCTTAACTTACAGTAATATTAACAATATATGTGGAATTCATGTTGCCTAGGGTTGACTTATTTTTGTCTCACCATCTTTGTTAATAAGAATGCAGGTAGTTTGTAATAATTTAAAAACAATTTGAGGCTTTTAAAATAGAGTGTATTTTATTTATTTGCTGTACTGGGTATCAAACTCAGCAAGGTAAATACTTTACCACTGAGCTATATTCCAGCCTAGATGTATATTTTATTTTAGCCAGGAGCAGTGGTGCATACCGGTAATCCCAGTTACATGGGAGGCTGAGGCAGGGGAATCACAAGTTCAATGCTAGCCTGAACAACTTAGCTAGACCCTATCTGAAAATAAAATAAAAAAGGCTGGGATGTAGCTCAGTGGTAGAGCACTTTTTTCTAGTACTCATGAGGCCCTGGGTTTAATTCCCAGCACTACAAAAAAAAAAAGAACACTTCAAAATACAAAAAATTGTATGTTAGACACATGACTATTTTCCCACTGTGAATTATATTTAGTTCTATTTTCAGATTTTAAAAGATATTTTATAGTTAATTTTCTTTTCTTTTTTTTTGGTACTGGGGATTGAACTCGGGACCTTGTGCTGGTGAGGCAGGCAGCAGAACCACTGAGCTAAATCCCTGGCCCTATAGTTAATTTTCTTCTCTAATCTTTTTCTAATGGTATTTACTATGGCAAAAAGTCCAAAGTAACCTTAAGACAATTGCATCCAACATAAGTGGTTGAGAACTTCAAAAAAACATTTATCTCAAAATTCTCCACCTTCATGTGATAGCCATTCTTGCTCTGGGTCTACTGTAACTTCCTCATTTGTCATTATTAATTTTTTGCAAACTTTAAAATAAATGATAAATATAACCATCACTTTATCAAAAAATTTTGCCCCCCATTAAGTTTATTGGTACATTTTAGGTATAAAATACATTTACATACATCATTGGGATCTTGTACCACTACATGAGTATCTTGGTTCTTATTTTTTTTCCCCTTCCCCTGCCATCCCTTTACCTGCTCCACCCTTCCCTATTTGCAAAGATTT